GCGTGCGGCCCGGGTTCGATCCTCAGCACCACATACCAACAAAGATGTTGTGTCCGCCGAGAAGTAGAAAATAAATATTAAAAAAAAAAATTCTCTCTCTCTCTCCTCTCTCACTCTCTCACTCTCTCTTAAAAAAAAAACAAAAAACAAACAAACAAACAAAAACCTGACAGTTTGATAATGCCAAACCTGTTGGGGAGCCTTATTAAAGGTTTTTTTGTGTATCATGGAAAGGAATAATACAACATAAATATTGGTAGTAAAGTTGACAGCTCTTTGCTTTCTTAATTGACATCTTGTTTAAGAAGAAGGAAAAATTTTATAGTGAAGAAACCTTGCACACACCCTCTCAACTAAATGCTCAGAGTTAACGTCACCAATAATAATACTGTTGTTGACATCATGTGTCTTCTGATATAATGCACCAAGATGAGCATAATGTCACTTATATGGTATTTTGCCAAAAATGAATTTAATCCTGAAAAGAAAAATCAGTCAAACCAAAACTGAACGACTTCCTACAAGATAATTAAGCAGTAACTACTAACTGTTAGTAATTAGTTGAACAAGGTCATGAAAGATCTTTAAAAACTGTAGTAGCATCAGGATCACAAAAGACAGGAGAAATAACAACAACTAAATGCATTATGCATACTGAGCCAGAAAAGGGGCATTGGTAGTTGTGTTGTAATTTGAAAAAGATCAATAGATTAGTTACTAGTATCTGTAGAGTTAATTTTCTATATCTGAGAAAAATTATTTTGGGGGTAGGGTACTGGGGATTGAACCCAGGGGCAGTTGACCACTGAGCCACATCTCTAGCCCTATTTTGTATTTTTTTTTTGCTTAGCACCTTGCTTTTGCCAAGGCTGTCTTTGAACTCTAAATCCTCCTTCCTCAGCTTCCTGAGCCACTGGTATTACAGGCTTGCGCTACTGCACCCACTGTATATCTGAGAATTTTACAATGGTCATTTGTGATGTTAACTTTTGGGGAAATTGGGAGAGGTGCCTAAGGGAGTTTTTCATACTGTTTTATTGCAACTGTTTTGTAGCTCAAATTATTATAAAAAGAAAATTTAAAAATAATAAAAAGAAAAATCCCAAGGGTGTTTGTTATCAGAATGCCTCAATGCACTGGTTTTGATCCCATTTTCTTTATGCTAGCTTAGTTTTATTTATTTTGCATGTCATCCTTAAAGCAGAAATGAAATAGAAAGTTCATATTTTTTTACTTTGTAGTTTTCAGGAAGAGTAAAGATGGCTGAATTTCTGGATGACCAGGATACTCGACTATGTGACAACTGGTAAGAGATTAAATCTAAAAAATATTATTGAAATGAGGACAAACCAGCTTTTATAAAAATTGGCTTATTTATTGGTAGGTTAAAATTGTTAGGTTAAAGTTGTATGGTATACTGTGCAAGTAAAATGGGATCAGAGCTTTCTTTTTTTTCCTACTGGAGATTTAACAAAGGGGCACTTTACCACTGAGCTACATCCCTAGATCCCCAGCCCTGCCTTTTTTTCCCCCCTGGTACCAGGGATTGAACCCAGAGGTGCTCAACCACTGAACCTCATCCCCAACCCTTTTTAAAAATATTTTATTTTGAGACAGGGTCTCACTAAATTATTCAGGGCCTCTCCAAGTTGCTGAGGCTAACTGAACTTGATGGCTTTGAACTTGTCATCTTCCTGCTTTAATCTCCCTAACTTGGCATTACAGGCATGTACCATGCCTGGCTGAGAACTTATTTTTTGTATGTCTGAAAAATATTATATAGTGGGTGTGGTGGTACATGCCTGTAATCCCAGCAGCTCCAGTGGCTAAGAAAAGAGGGTCACAGCAACTAAGCAAGAACCTAGGCAATTTAGCGAGATTCTGTCTCAAAAAATAAGAAGGGCTGGGGATATGGCTCAATGGTTAAGGGCCCCTAGGTTCAGTCCCTGGTACCCTCCCCCCCCCAAAAATTATGTAAATAAAATATTTGGAGTAGATTAGTGTGTGTTCAAAGTATGATGCCAGGATTTCCTTGAGTCACTCTAGTACTAGGAGCAAGGTTTTAAGTACTTGAAACTTGCTGTATATTGAGTGACAACAGTTCAACCAGAACAGCTCAGACAACCCTTTTTTTTTTAATATTTATTTTTAAGTTGTCGTTGGACACAATACTTTTATTTATCAATTTATTTATTTATTTATCTATCAATTTATTTCTTTATTTATTTATATGGTGCTGAGGATTGAATCCCAGAGCCTTGCAGGTGCTAGGCAAGCACTCTACCACTGAGCCACAATCCCAGCCCTTAACTCTTTTTATAAAAGTTTTGCTGCTTAAAAAAATAGGGGAGGAAGTCCAACCTTAATCATTTTCATTTCATGGTTCCACAGCTGTTAGTGAAGGACTGGCTTAATTTTGAATGTTAAGTCTTCAATTGTGTTTTTATTTTTTAAATATTTATTTTTCGTTATCAGCGGACACAGCATCTTTGTTTGTATGTGGTGCTGAGGATCGAACCCGGGCTGCACACATGCCAGGCGAGCGCGCTACCGCTTGAGCCACATCCCCAGCCCTTCAATTGTGTTTTTAATGCCCATAGTGATAAGAAAGAGAAACTCTTTCCTCCTGAAATGAAACCTAGGCAACTTCTGGTTTCTGAGCTGGTTCCTGGTGGGGATTTCTCAAGAACTTACCTTGATTTTTTTTTTTTGATGATACACAACTGCTCGTACTGAATGCTAAAACAAAAAACAAAGCAGAACTGTCTATGCTTTTTAACTTACAAATTGTGGCAGAAGGAGATATTGAATAAGGAAAATAGCTTGTTGTAGATTGAAAGGTTTGAGCCAGATAAAATTTTTTTGTTGTTGTTGTTGCTTTTTTCTTTATGTTCAGCCTGACTTTCAGCAGAATTAGGATATAATTAGAGCAACTTCTAGTCGTAATATTCTTTAACTATATAGATCAAGGATGTCTTAATAAGGTGTTTCTTTGTATTAGCCATTATCACTTTTCTGCTGCTTACTAAACTATTTTGGCATTGTTTAAGTTTATACGTATAATTGTTGATTTCAAATTAATCAATAAAGCAAATGATAACAAGAAATTATTGTGATTTTATAATAAAACACACTGGTTTTATTTTAATTTCAATCCACACTTGAAGGAGTTTAGATCCTAGGACAGCTTGTAAATAACTATGCTAAGGAAGTTTAAGAATGGTGTGCTAATAGAAACTAATGAAGACAAGGTTATTCAAAACCTGAGCAATTTATTTAAAGAAGAAAGCAGATTATCAGGGAAGGCTGAATAAGACTATACAAAGCCCTCCCATCTAAGCAATTTTATTTAAATTTCTTTCTTTAAGCAACTCTTAATATTTCTTTCTTTTTTGGTAATGGGGATTAAACCCAAGGGCACTTTACCAATGGGCTATATCATACCCCAACGCTTTTTTCAAAATTTTTTATTTTGAGACAAGATATCATTAAATTGCTTTGGGCCTTGTTATGTTGCTGAGGCTAGTCTTGAGCTTGGAATCCTCCTGTCTCGGCCTCCTGAGTTCCTAGGATTATAGGCATGCACTACCACAACTGGCAGCTAATTTCATGTTTTAAATTTGTCTTTAGAGCTTTATCTCTATATTAAGGAAAGTCAAAGTCCTCATCAATATTGAGCTGTGATTAGATCCCAATAGGCAGCCAATAATTTGTTGTGACTGAAGATGTTTGCAGTTCTCTCTTTTCTTGTGATATTGTTTGATCCAAGGGAGGTGTAGTTCTAGGAAGTGGAAAGGTCAATGTTAGAAGGCTAAGACTGTACATACTCAAGAATAGATTTGTGATTCTTTATGTTTTGTAGAAGCCTTGGCTTGCTTTTAAATCTTTTCTATCTAAAATGAAAGTTTACTTTTTAACTTGGCTTGGTCCTTCCTTGGAGTTTTAGCAGTATTATCAAGGTAAGCAATTTATATCTTTTAAGTTTGCTATGTAGATAGTTTTTGCTATGTAGTTATGTAGATAGTAAATGCCCTGTGGACTTACCTGACAGCTGCTTTGATTCTTGCTGGTTAGGTACCCCTGGGTTACATAGCCT